CAAACTGTACCATTCTACTCAAACTGACCCACGTTCAGAATGTATGACCAGTCCAGCTCTATCTAAAGGGACCTAGTCTCTCTCCTCATTTCCACCTCCTGGTTTCCCTGGCATCCTTCGATGCTACAATCTTACCTTCTGCCTTTCTTCATCACCCTTTAATGCTAGTGCCTTTGCTTGTTGATTTTCTCCAATTTATGCTTTATATAGGAGCAGCTAGGTGGTGCAGTGGATAGAGTGCCAGACTTGGAATCAGGAAGACTTGTCTTCATGGGTTCAAATCCAGCCTCAGACTAGCTGGGTGACCCTGGGCAAGTCACTTCTTCCTGTCTGCCTCAGTTTCCTTATCTGTCAAGTGAGCTGGGGGAGGAAATGGCAAACCACTCCAGTACCTTTGCCAAGGAAACCTCAAATTGGGCCACAGAGAGTCAGACATAACTGAAACAACCAAGCACCAATGACATACATGTCAAGGGAAAGTCAGCCCCACCATGCGTTCATGTGAAGCCTTATTCATTTCCCAAGGTTGGGTTTTAGGGACACTTGAGACTTATTTCCTGTTTATAGAGAAATACTAGTATTAGTAGAAAGGGCATAATCTCAGCCAACAGTTGTCTGCACTTCATATAGAATTACTACATTGGAAAGAAAGAACATGGTTTCCAGCATTAGAAGACCTGGGTTTGACCTATGGATTTTGCTGCCCTCAAGACCTTGGGTAAGTCTCTCAGTCTCTGTTTCCTCATACGAAAAATAAAGTTGTACCAGATAGCCTCTGAGGTCCATTCCACCCCTTGATCTAGGGCTCTTTGCCCTCTGTGATGCTCAGATCCTTCTAGAGCTAGGCCATGGAGTGGCTCTGTGATCATTGTTTTTGGCCTGCTCTGCTAGCAGTTACCAAGACTATTGCCTATATGGAGGAACGCTTTGCTCAGGAGCTACTAACAAAAATGAGGGCTTTTCACTGAACTTGGATGCTTGCTTCCTTAGCCTTTGGAAACCAGGTGATCTGAAAAATGAAAGTGGTCAGGGTTTGGGTCAAGGTCTACATAACCTGAGATTTCTCAAGGCCTGTAGCACCTTGGAGTACCCACATGACTTCACAACAGCAGGAGGAAGCCTGACCTGGTGGCCTTCAGGAGTAGCAGGATGAGGCATAAAATCTCTATGTTTTCCCCCCTTTCTTTCACCCTTAAAGTAAAGCTAATTGAGCAGGCAAGAGTCAGCAACTCTGGGCCTTCTGGTGCTTGGCTCTGCAAGTCCTGTCGACTCTCAGATGTGCTCCACCTTCCCCCAAGCAATGCAGCCAGCAGTTCATATAATCCCTAAATTAGAGGTGGAAGGAAACTTAGAGGTCATCTTGTCCAGGCCTCTCATTTTACTGATGAGGAAACTAAGGCTAGGAGAGGTTAAAGAACCTGCCAAGCTCACCCACAGATGGTATCTGAGCCCTCTGGCTCTAAGCCTTCAGGGCCCAGCATCAGGCAGCCTTCTGGGAAACTGGGCTAGACATTCTGTCTACTCCCACCCAGAGGGAGTTGAACTGATGAGTCTAAAGTAAAATTAGCACAAAAAGAAGTGATTTTTAAAAAAAAGAAAAGAAAGAAAAGAGGGTGATCGAGGCATCTTTTTAAAAAGAAATTAGAGAAAACAGAAGGAAGACCAGAAGGAAAGTCAGATAAATAGGATGACTTTGAGAGCTACATGTTGAACTTATATTTAAAAAGAAAAGCAAGGTGAACATAACAGAACACTGAGGTTTCAGTGTAACATTCTTTTTTTTGCGTAGTATGCGCATGGACATACTCTATTTAGTATTTGCTATACTCGGAATTAAAATAAAAATTAATAATTAAAAAAAAAAGAAAAAGAAAACCCCAAATGAAGGAATGGTGTCACTTCTGTCATAGCCAACATGCTCGCTTATTAAATACAGCAATTTTATGGTGATGCGTTGAACTGAAAGCTAATCTTTCAACAGGAGTTGATCACTGGGCCACAGATATGTCCATTTAGAGACTGAGAGATTTTCCCTGCCCGTGTGTATCATATATTTTTGTAGTTCTGCCCTGTCCGTCTTCAAGGACAGACTTTTAGGATGTCTTTAAGAAAAGTCCTCTGGGGGCAGCTAGGTGGCGCAGAGGATAGAGCACTGGCCCTGGAGTCAGGAGGACCTGAGTTCAAATCCAGCCTCAGACCAAACACTTGACACTTAGCTGCGTGACCCTGGGCAAGTCACGTAACCCCAATTGCCTAAAAAGAAAAAAAAAGGATTAAAAAAAAGAAAAAGAAAAGTCCTCTGGCTTCAGACACTTGACATTTACTAGCTGTGTGACCCTGGGCAAGTCATTTAACCACATTGCGCAGCCAAAAAAAAAAAAAAGAAATGTTCCCTGGTTAACACCTGTGTTATCATCAAAGTAGGCAATTCACAATATGGAAGCTTTCTACAATGAAGGCAACTCATTTGTAATTTAACAGTCTTAGAGATTTGCTTGGAACACTGGGTGCTTAAGCTCCTTGTCTAGGGCCTGAAGCTAGTATTAACCAATCAATTAGCCAACAAGAATTTATTAAGGGCTCACCTTTAAGTCTGAATGGGGACACAAACACAAAAAGGAAAATAGTCCCTTCCCTCTGAGAGTTTACTAAGTGGTGATGTAGATAGAGAGCTACTAGATAGGAGTCAGGAAGACTCATCTTCTTGAGTTCAGATCTGGCCTCAAACACTTACTAGCTGTGTGACCCTGAACAAGGTCCTTCACCCTGTTTCCCTCAATTTCCTCATCTGCCAAATGAGCTGGAGAAGAAAATGGCAAACCACTCCAATATCTTTTCCAAGAAAACTCCAAATGGGGGGTCACAGCAAATCAGAATATGACTTAACAACAACTACACACACACACACACACACACATACACACACACACATGTATATACAGATACACACATATATATGTATGTGTCTATACATATATACACACATATATCACATGCATAAAGCAGCTCTTCCTGACTTCAAGACCAGATTTCTGCTTACACTGTCCTTAACAAACATCCTTGGTGCTGCAAAAAAGTCTCAGTTCTAGACCAAGGGATCTTAACTTTTCCTGTTTCAGAGACCCTTTTGCCAGTCTAATGAAGCCTATGTACTCTTTTAAGTACACACACACACGCATTAAAAAAAATACATAGCATTATAAAGGAAACCAATTATGCTGAAATTAGTTAAGAAAATTAAAAAATCAAAAACACAAGTTCATGGATAATGAGTGAAGAAATTCTGGTCTGATGCACCCTTCTCATGTTCAACGATTCTGTTCCTAGTCTGACAACAACCTAACCTTCATCTGTCTAATTTCAAACCATCTTTATTCTTGCTTCGGTGTCTTATTTGTCTTTTTTATTTAACTTTTTTTTTTTAGTTGCTAGTAAACTCCAGTTTTTGGATTATGTTATTTTTAACCAAGCCTGTCTTCTTGGCCCGCATCCCACCATTCCTGTCTCCTAATTCTCGTACTGTTTTCAGTTGCTGATCTGATTTTTCTGGCCCTACCTCCGTCTAATTTGAAGGCCATCCTGTAGCATGGATCTGCTCTCAGCCATCAACCTCTCATATCAACCCCAATCCACCAAGACAACCCACTTTAGTCACAGAGAGGCCCAGTAGCCAAGATGCACCATGGAAGCAATTGTCAGACATGTCCTGGGCACTGGAAAAATAGATAATGCCAGGCAGCCACTCAGGGAGAACTGAGGAGGATGACTGAGAGTGGGCGTTTGAAAAGGAAATGGAAGAAGACTGAGCTCTCCAATAATCACCCTTAGAAACAACTCGTAGTTTGAAAAATATAGTTTGAGTCCGTAGAAGTCAGGTACAATTTGCCTCTTCTCTCCTTTTTTATTCTTTGTATTGGAATGGAAAAATGGAGAGCTGTGGGAAAAATTAGAGTCCATGCAGAGGGCTGTAAGTCCATAAGATTTAGAGCTGTAAAGGACCTTGGAGTTGTGAACATCTCAAAACCATAAATGGGTCACTTCCATCCCCCGTACTAATTATTGTAATGGAAGTCCAGCATACATCAGCAGGAATACCAGAGTGTAATGACTTATTTACAATACGAAATTATACGGTTACATGATGCAATATTGCATCATCAAAATTTTAATGCAGGAAAAACTCCACAAATTTATAATAAATTATTACATTTTAGATATTTTTAAAAAATGTATATTATTTTGAAATGGTGCGAATTTAAAAAAACATGAAAGGATTAAAGAAAGTAGATTTCTGGGAGGCACTGAGAAATTTTTTTCTTAAAAGGGGGCAGGTAGTAGGCCAAATAAGTTTGGGAACCTCTGCATTAACACTTATTTGCTCATTTGTGCCTTGTGAGAGTGAGGGATAAGCTAGTGGCAACAAGCTAGTCGATGCTTTGCCTTGAGACCCTTTCAATGACCCATTCTCTATGTTCATGGTCCCTTACATGTTCACTGGAAAGAGATCCCAACTTAGTATCAGAAAACCTGGGGTCTAATGACAGCTCTGCCACCCATTGGTTCTCTGATCTTGGGTTAGTTACTGGTCCTCAGTTTCCTAATCTGTAAAAATGAGAGGGTTGGCTTGACCTCTAAGGTTTCTTCTAGATCTAACATGCTGGGAGTCTGAAATAGAATTCTTTGTGGGGCAGGACTGTCTGATGAAAAAGATATTCCCAGACTTTTCCTTTCCTGACCCTGAGCTTTCCATTCCCCTCTCCCCCAAAGTCCTGTGTTTTCTGTCTGAGATATTTGACTTACTCCTCATGAAAGAAAATCTTTCCAGTTCCTCATTTTCCTTTTATTGAGGGAGATTGAACAGTGGCATGCTTGAACTCAGGCCAGATTTCGAATTGAGCATCTGGATTTCACCTAGAGAAAAACTATCTCCTCCCCTCCCCCATGTTCCGCCTTCCTCTCTTCCCTTCCCTCTCCTCCTTCCTCCCCTTTATAGCACTCACCTCCACGCACATCTGGGCTGCGGATTTAGCTCCTACCCATTGAGGAGTCAGTAGGCTGGCCAGAAACAGATAGCACATGTAACCTGCCATCTCAGAGACCATATGCACTCCAGCCCAGCTGGCCTGTTCAACCTTGAGTCAAGCAGTGGCCATCAACGAAATGTACAACAGCTCAGGAGCTCAAAGTGGTGCACTCTGAAAAAAGTGAATGCATGGGTCAAAGCTTTCACCCTTTGGGCAGTTCCTCCCTCCTCCCACAACAAAAAGAGGAAATCTCTCTGGGCCTGGGCCCCTCCCCACCCACCTACCACCAAAAGTTCAGCCCCACTGGGAGTATGAACGATTAACACAGCACTTCCTGATGGCAAACTTGGTATACTTGAGCAACACCCTAGCCTAGATGTTTTCGACCTGGGGTCCACAGATGGATTTCAGGGGGTCCATGAGCTTGGTTGGGAAAAATTTACATATATCTTTATTATCACCATAATTAGTTTCCTTTCTATGTATTTTATTCTGTGCTTTGAAAAAGTTAATTTGAGAGAGGATCCATAGGCTTCACCAGACTGGGGCGGGGGGGAGATGGGAAGGTTGAAACAAAAAAAGTGAAAAGCCCCCCTGGTCTACGCCTGGGGGTGGGCAGTGAAGTTGGCTAATAATTCATTTTGATGTGGACCAGTCTGAGTGTTTTGGCTGATGCTGAGAGCTTTCTGCCCCTGAAAATGAGAATTTGCTGGGAAGGCATAGAGATATATGTATGGTAGAGAACTCTGATTGGTTTGAGGAAGTTCCATAGAAAGGGAAGTTCCTTGCTTGGAGCAAGGTGAAGTGAGTACAGAGTAGGAAGGGCAGAAGAATGCCCTGAGGTTTGGGGTGAGATGGCACAGTGGGGGGGGAGGAGCCTGGGAAAAACTGGAAGAGGTCATCGTCTTCCTATGAGCTCTCACCCCAACACTTCCACCTATCCACCAAGCTTTCTTTCCTGATTCTCTGGGTTTACTTGGCACTGCGCTCCACTCCTACTTCCCTTCCTACATGTTTGCCCTCTCCTTAGTTTTCAATGATAAATCGTTATGTATTTCGTGTACCCAAAAATGAGCTGGAGAAGGAAATGGTAAACTACTCCAGTATCTTTGCCAAGAAAACCCCACAGAATACTGGCCCTGGAGTTTGGAGGATATGAATTCAAACATGGCCTCAGAAACTTACTAGCTATGTGACCCTGGGCAAGTCACTTAACCTTAATTGCCTCCAAAAAATAGAAAACTACATGGGCAGTATGGTCCATGATATCACAAAGAGTTGGACGTGATAGAACATCACCAATGTTATCTCACCTAACAGAATAGAAGCTCCTTGAGGTCAGGGGTTTTTCTTTTGTGTCTTTGCATTTCCAGGGCCTAGCACAGCTGTTGGCACATGGGCACCTGATAAATATTTGTTGATTGATCAGTTGATCGGTCAAGAAGCACATATGAAGCACAAGTTATTGTGTGCTAGGCAGCCTGCTGGGTGGGCGGGGCACAAAGATCAACATGAAACAGTTCCTGCCCTCAGGGAGTTTTCATTCTGTCAAGGGAGACAATGTATACACACATATAAGATACGTACAAGGGAATGTGAAAGGGAGATACCAGCACCTGGGAGGATCAGAGTCACAATGGAATTCCTGACGACTCCCATCCCTCTGTTCTCTTTGTCCTTGTCAATGGGGAAAAGGAAAAGGGTTAGTAGACACCCCATTTCCCAGGTACTTCTGGTCTACCCTAGAGGTGGTATGGTATCCCACACCTCAGTAGAATATAACAACAACCTTCTGGTATAGGGGCCAGGACTGAGAGATGGGAGAAGAACATAGACCAGGAGGGAAATGAGGTTCAGATTTCCCTGGCCTTTCCAAAATGTTATCCCCAAAGAAACTGCCTAAGTCTAATACAGACTGGGTGCTTTGGACACCTCCGAGACAAGAAAACTGGGCTGAAAACAGACTAGCTTTGTACAGGACTAACCTCTATCATATGTGCTAAGGGTTTGCAGAAAAGCCTTCAGCCCCTCGGCATACAAATGCAGCCAGAGGAATTGGAGCCAGTCCTGACTCCTGCCTGAATCCTTCCTCCGTTTATTCTCTAACTTACCCTTGTCTGCATCTCTGGTTTCCTCCTCCTCATTCTGAGCCTTTGGTGACCTCCCTTCTTTGCTGGAACAATTTTCACTCTGCTTCTGGGCCAAGGTTCCGTCCTGGGTAGCCAGTGGCCAGCTTGCTGATGTAATTGGATTTCCCTTTCTTGTTATTATCATCACCTCCAGGTTCTATGATTTCATCATTCTGGGTGCCCCTTTATTGGTAGAGATCACAACCCCTCTATAATTTAGGTGATGGTCTCTGAGAATTCCTGTGGCTGGAAAATTCAGCTCTCTCTGGCCAGCCTGGTGACAAGCTTCCCTGAACAAACTTACTTAGGCTGGTCCCCAAATGACAGATGTAGTATATCACGGGGATCTCTAATTGATGCCTTTCTGTCTTGGTAGAACCTGCTTGTCCTTATGTTTCATTGGTGGAGCCTTAGAGAGCTCAGGGTCACTTCAATGCCATGACTAAGCTCTGGAGGGAGACTTCTTGGGGAAGGCTCTTATTTATGCCCTTCCTGTTGCCAAACTATATTTAGGCAGAAGGCTTTCTACTTTGTATTTGCTCTTTTTCTCTATTTCATTCAGTTTCTTAATTTTGCTTTGGCTTTTAGAATTCTAGCTTTATGGTTTGCACATACTGTTTTATAGTTTGTACATGTTGCTTTGCTTGTCTCTCCCATCCTACTTCTTGAGGGCAGAAATTGTCTTTTTCCTTTTTTTTTTTTCCTTTTTTGCATCCCCAATGTTTAGCCCAGTGCCTGGCATATAGTAGGTTCTTAATAAATGTTGATTGACTGACTGATTGACTGACTCAACTTTTGTCCTTTTGCTACTTATTTCAAAGCCCACTTCTATCTGGACCTGTTCTCTCCCTCATGTTTTTTTTTTTTTTGCATTTTGACTGATCCTCACTTGTGTGTGTACAGGGGTTGCTCCTCTTCTTTTTTATTGTCCGTCCCTTCCCTGATATTGTCTCTGGGGACCTCACCAAAGTTACTGTTGTAACTTATGGGGACTGAATAGTCTTCAAATATCTGTGATTGCATTCTGTGGGTACTTCCTCCACTGATGCAGATACCTCCTTTACACTTTAGGAGGCAGTCTGCCTGAATAGCTAGGGCTGAGGGATACAGGAGGTCTTATTTCTCAAACTAGAAACATCCTTCTCGGACAGAAAAAGAAATTTCAGGCTTGCTGTTTGTTCACTTATGCTCAAGCAAAGAAACAAAGTAGAAGAAATGGAAGAGGTAACCAGAGGTCAAGAGTCTAGGTCCAGGTTCTCCTCATGTGGCAAATGTGCCCACCACCATGTTTAAGCGATCACTGAAACTACTTGAAGAGAGAGAGAGGGAGGGAGGGAGAGAGAGAGAGAGAGAGAGAGAGAGAGAGAGAGAGAGAGAGAGAGAGAGAGAGAGACAGAGAGAGACAGAGAGAGAGACAGAGAGAGAGACAGAGAGAGAGAGAGAGAGAGACAGAGAGAGAACAGAGAGAGAGACAGAGAGAGAGAGAGAGAGAGAGAGAGAGAGAGAGAGAGAGAGAGAGAGAGAGAAGAGGAGAGGAAAGAAGAGGAGAGAGAGGAGAGAGAAGGGAGAGGGAGAAAGAGAGAGAAAAGAGAGAGAGAGAGAGTGAAAGAGAGGAGAGAAAAAGAGAGAGAGAAGAGAAAGAGAGAGGAAGGGAGAGAGAGAGAGAAGAGAGAGAGGGAGAGAGAGAGGGAGAGAGAGACAGAGAGAGAGACAGAGAGAGAGACAGAGAGAGACAGAGAGAGGAAGGGAGGGGGAGAGAGAGAGAGAGACAGAGAGACCAATACCACATGTTCTGGAGACAGGAAGAAGAAAGGAAAAGCAAATATTATTTTTCCTTTTAATGTTCACTGAGTAGAAGTTTCTTCCTGACTTAGTGATCTTTCCCTCTTTAACATTGCCACAGAGGCAAGGGAATAGTACAAGGATGTCTCTGTCACTGTCAAAACCCAAGTCCTGCAGCACTGAGCCACATGCATCCCTGGAAATAGCCAGGGAAGTCCAGCTGCCCTCCACACATGTACCAGAGGGCTATTCTCTCATCACAGTAGATGGGGAGGATCTGATGACAGTCATCAGATTAAGTGCAAACTCTTAACATTCAAGCACAGTCTTCTCTTGATATCCTTATGTTCCATTTTGCTTGCCTAGAGGGGTTAATGATATTTGTAGGTATTGTCTCATCCACTGATTTAATGTGACCTCTGGATTCAAGCTTTACACCTTTCGACTCACTCTTTCCTCGGTGTATAATTTTACACTTAATGTGTCCAAATAACATTTTGATATCATTGGAAAAATATTCATGAAATGAAGGAGCTGCTTAATGTGCTTTTCAGTGGATCAATATGGCTTGATAACATCTATATACCTCAAAGGGTTAATAAGAGGTTTTTTTTTTTATTCCTTTAATTTCAAAACCGTATTTATTTATTTGTTTTCAGGAGAGATGAATTTATTTGATTATTTTAAATTATTTAAAATAAATTTAATTTAATTTATTTATTTAATGAATTTAAAGCTAGGCAAAACCATAATGTGTTTAAAAGGTTTCCCTTGAAAAATGTGATGTTTATATTAATTTTTGACCTTGTTATATTGTCATGTTTTAAATGGAGAATATTTTTCCATGTGGACATTGAATACTCTAGTATTCTCGTTGTGTCTGGATCTATTCCATATATTTGCTGTACATGAACAAGCCAGGAGGAAACTGAGGCAAACAGGATTAAGTGACTTGCACAGAGTCACACAGTTAGTGTCTGAGGTCACATCTGAATTCAGGTAAGTCTTCCTGACTCCAGTGCTCTATCATAATAATGGATTAATAAATGATATATGAGCTTTTAAATTCCTATTTGGTCGAACTGTCATTTTTATTGTGCTGGACCACATAGAAACCTCCAGTTTTCTACATCTTCCTCTTTCAGGGTTTTTTTCTCTCTCCTATGTGGTTTATTTTTTTTAAAACTTCTCAAGCCTCTATAGGAAAATGTTGATTAATGTCAAAATTATTTATTTTATTCTTTATAGAACTCTGATTCCTTCTGATCTAGAATCATACATTTAGAGCTTGAAGAGACCTAGA